AGTGCTGGGATTAGAGAGGTTTGCCACCAAGCCCGGCCCAACATGTTTTAGTGTGCACAAGCACATGTAAGCCATTAGTAGTGGTCAGTGGGTGGACCTTTAACTAGGAATTTTCAAAGAAACACCGGAGTGTCCCTCTGCCTCCTGGCACACAGAGTTCTCTTACTGGGAAAGGAGCACCAGAGGAACTTCAAAGCAAGCCTATTTGCGGAGAGCACAGGGTTATGGAAAATACCCACGGATGTGGAAGACCTACCCTGGCTCCCAGGAGGCCGTGAATCAGCAGCCTCTTGAGTCACTGAAGCCTGAAGCAACAGGAAAAATCAATAACATGGTCTGGCTGCGTTTAAAATTTTTGTATCTTGTTTATCAGACTATTTTTTTTGGCATCAGTTCTGATTTTAAACACTGCATCAAAGGATCTTCTCTAGTCTTTGGTCACAAACACTCTGCCCACTGGGATGGCCACCTCCCGGGCCTGGCCCTGGGTGCCAGTGATGGGTAGTCCGGGTTGTCCCTGGCTCTGGCCCACCATGAGGGAACAGTGGAGGTCCTGTCCCACTGGGCTGTCTACAGACCACCCCGGCTTGGGGGCTCTGCCCCACCTTGCGTTCTCCAGCGCTGCACTGCCCAGGCCCACCTGCCTCAGTGTGGGCCCCGCAGGGCAGTACTGAGGGCCCGCTTTATGCTCCTTCCCCTTTACTCTTCCGGTCTTCCCCAGACCTATCCCGTGCTTAGCTGCTGCTTCTGAAGACCCTCATGATACACTGAAAACTAAAACTGTTACAAACTGGTGGTGTGTAATACAGACATTCCAATTTCTCTCTTTCAGATCCTAAGTTCAATGTATGATGTAAGGATATGTCTTTAAAACAAAACACAGACTTTGAAGATTTAATTAAGTGAAAATTTATTCAAATTATTTAAACTTACAACCACGAAGAAACATTACACATGGAGATCAGAAAGGAAATCACCTACTTCTTTTGGGGCAAGGGGTGACTGACATACAAGCCTGACTGACAAAAATAAATGCTTTTCAAACTTGCTACTTAAACTCTGTACATTCAAGTAGATGCAGTTTATACTTGGCTTCTGGAGAATTTATCCAATTCTAGCAAGGTAACTTGAGTAAACTTTCTTGAGTTTTACACCATGGCTCTCAAGTCTGAAAGCTCAGATTTGATTATAAACATGGCGAACTTGATTCTCTTCATTTCCTGCAAATGCAATCAACTTTTAAAATAAGTTAGGCAAATACCCATTTTCCGTGGGCCTTATAAGGACAGAAGAAAACTGCAATTGCTCATCTAATCGCAGTATCTAGGACAGACCAAAACTGTACTGTTAGGTCCAATGTCAGACCACGCAAGAAGGCGGTTAGAGACTGCGATTCGGCAGGGTCTAAGGGGCAAGTTTGAAAACCTATCATCACCTTACTACTCAACAGCAAGTATTTTCAAGTATGCTCCAAGAGTCACTCCTTCGCGAAGGACTAACCTGCAGAAGTCAAGTGACAAGTATTACCTACATTTTATAGGAAATGAAGGCAAAGGAAGATTTAGGATTGAGTAATATGAAAAATTCAAAAGTAAATTATAAATACTTAGTTTTGAGACAGATGTCACGTACTCTGAACTCCATTCTCTTACATCATAATCATTCGCCTGCCTTTGTACCTGCAGGCCAATTTGTGTTTAGCATCTTAATGTATTATTAGACTACTATAGACAGACTGGGCTTGTTTGTAGTAGACCATTAAGAAAAACCCTTTGTGCTTTCTGTTCATTCTTTAGAAATAAAAATGGAAACTGCTTATGTTAAAACAAAATTAGTACCACTTTTCTGCCTTTTGGCTGAGATCAAGTGTAAAACAAAAATGGTACACACTTTTTCCCAAAGCAGAAACAAAAGGATCCCTCACCCTACAATCTTTTTTTCACTTGGGCATTGAACTATCTAACCTTTATAGGCTATTTTACATTTAAACACTGTGTGATCTCTAGAAACATCTATGTCTACCTTCCTGTGAAAGTTATTCCACCCAGATCAACATTATAAGCTGCTCACTGGATTCTGATTCTAGCTAAAATGACAAGAAATATTTTAAATAAAAAAATAAGAGTTAGATGTCAAGGTTTTTCTTTCACAGGAAGGAAATGCTCTATTACATGGATCTATAAAATGATCCAAACTTCAGACACAGGAAGCTGATAACCTGATTTATCTTCTTAATGGCTTTGGCTCATGAATAAATGATACAGGTTTATGTGTTTTTCTTATAAAAAGAAATGTAATTTGTATAATGATATGAGTCCTATTTGCCACGTTTGTGTTGCTTTTTAAAGGTTTCCTAATTACTAAGACACTCTATATAATTTATAACAAGAAATCAAAACTTCCACTGAAAAGCCATCCTTTGACCACAGTTGGCCATTAGCTGAAATTCAGGAAAGTACCTAGGTCTGATCACCAAATCAATAAATCTAGCCTCAGGCTGACTAAAAGCTTCCTTTAATCTTCCTATTAGGTCTTCCTTTAAATTAAACCATTCTGTTTATGAATTATTTAGGCGAATGGCACAGTTACAGAAAGAACACACAATACAAAACGTTGAAGGAATCTAAAAGAAAATCACGTTCAGCATATTTGAGGAATTACAGTTTGAACCAAGATGTTCTGACTTTGAATAGGGGTAAGGGGGATGTCTTGAAAAGCTTTAGAGAAAAACAGCCAAGTCCGGTTTCTTCCCTGATGTGCACAGAAGACTCCCGAGGCGAGGCGCAGCTGAGTGTGTGGTCCAGACCGGCTGTGAGCCCCGCAGCGGCTCCCTCGCTGTCAGGGCCTTTCCCTGAGGGGACGCTGACACGCTCCAGCTTTGTGTCTGACCTGGCTGCTCTAGCTCCAGCCTGCCTCACCAGTAAGCGCTACACACTTCCACAGTGCTCAATGCTTTCTCAGCTCCGGAATTACACTTTTCAAATGTTTTATTGATCACATTTTTCTTCTTGAAAGTTACTTATTTTCCTTATTCAGTACAACAAATATACTTTTAAGCATCTCTTATGAGCTAGGGTTTGAATATTGTTCTTCCAAATGCTATTCTCACAGAACCAGAAAGGGGTATAGAACCTTTCTACATTCCAGTCCTCACAGATTTGTAAAACACAGCTCTTCCCTTTTCCTTCATGATAAACAATTCCCTTCTCAAGTCTTTATATTTCTACTTTCCAAATTTCTTTTCACTTAGCAAGTACCAAAGGAAAAGTACAAACCACTCCAGAGCAAATGAGCTTCCCTGTTCTCACTTAGACTTCAAGGCTATGCATATGGTAGTATTTTAGAAAATGTTAATAGCTGTTAATACCTTGAATTGAAAAAAATTAAAAAGTTAGAGAAAATATATCACAAGCAGTCAGTTTGAATTATATGAAAAGCTAAATGTTCATATAAACATTTTACCACTATAAAAGACAACGTAATTATATTTCATTTTCTTTTAAAAAACTACCCTTTAACACAATATTCATAAGCTACTCATCCCTTAGGTTTTTCTGTATGGATAAAAAGTTATTTTTTGAAAGAAAAGTGTTTAAAATAATTGTTTCACGGAAACAGAAAGTCTTATCAAATTCTGATAACAAAACTGTAATTCCGGGTAGAGTCTTACCACACTGTTAATTGTCTTTCATCAAAGGTAGATATTTAGGAAGTCTGATACTGGTTAATAGCAGGAGATTCTCAGTGATTGAAAAAAAGCGCCACAGTGAAGATGAGGTAGTAAGACTTTTCTGCCGTGTGGAAGGTAAATGTCACCTGCAGAAGTGACACCTACCCTGGCATTGGCGTTGCTTGTCCTGAGCCCCCTCACGGCTAGGAGTTGCCACTTCTGTAGCTGTTCCCCTCGGAGACTGAGCCCACCTCGGGACCACTGAGAATACCAAGGCTACCAGAGAACGGGAATGAAGACTTACTGGTTTCATTTTGTAACTGCTGGAAACTTATTTTAAAGCCATTTTGAAAAACGCCATGTTTATGTTCACAGCAGAAGCACAGGACAGGGAAATGCTATGTCAACACAGACGCGAGGATAAGAAGCACTTGTTCTAACTTGCACATTTTGATGAGTCAAAGTTCTCCCAGTCCAGGTAGAAGCAAGTTTCCTAATCTAGCTCAACCAGCATAAAGAAATAGCCATATTAAAAAAGCCAACTTGTACAAAGGGGTGGACAGCTTACCAGAAGATAAACTGGGTAATCTGTGCATATTAGCCATTGATTCTTTTTTTAAAAAAAGGCAGGGTGTCAGTCCATTTATCACAATCAGTTACATGGGGCTAATGACATTTCTAAGAATGCTGCCCTGTTCTTTGAAATATTATCATTTTTGCCCTACTGTTCGGTATGATACAAGCCATACAGCTGTCAAAATGCAATTCTTTTTTGAAGCCACATTAAAAACGAGTTAATTCTGAAAACAGGAAACAGTATTTGAAACTTGAAGATCAGCTTTCTCAATAGTGAGCTCCATGTTTATTTCTTGAAACTTTATTCAAGTTTAATCTAAAATAATTAAACACTATTTAGGTACTCTTTGGTTACCAGAAGAAATCTGTGGCTATTTATGAGCTGCAGTTTCCCAGGCTCGGAGTTCGTATAAAAGGCCTAATACAAGAGCAACCATTCACAAATCAATACAGAAAAACCCCACTGCTATAGCAACCACTAGCTACTAATAGTGTTATTATTTCTAAAGTTCCCAGTGAGAAAGGAACAAATTTTATGTTTTGAAGATGGCTTAAAGGCTGAGAGAAGGAGCTTCCTAGCAGTGTAACAAATGACCCTGCCACACTGGGATCAATGCACCTCCAGGATGTCAGATTCTCTCATTGATTCTCGTTGGCCAGATTAATAAAAAATTTAGTGATCCTGTTTCATAGTTATTATTTAAAACAAGCCAGGGGTGCTGATCTTTCTAATCCCAGCAATCAGGAGGCTGAGGCAGGAAGACAGCCATGAGTTCAAGGCCAGCCTGAGCTACATAGTGAGAGTCTGTCTAAAAAACAAATAAAAAAAACAAAAAAACCCACACAAAATTTGACTTGCAATCACTTTGTCACTTTTAACATCCCTGTTAGCAAGTTTAAAAAATGAACTACATTACTATGGATGAATTGTAACACTCTACTGAAGAATTTTAAAACTCAAAAAGGGCTGGGAAAAGAGTATTTTATGTCCAGGAATACTGATGGTACAGACTAATGAAATATTTTACATGTAGCAAAAAATATAAATTATTTTAAAACAGTAATATAGGATATTCAAATGTGTTTGCAACGCCTACCAAATTTCAAATATGCCCAGGCCATATATAAATTAGGTAAAGAAAAAAGTTTAAGTATACAACCTACTTAGCAAAAACAAAAACCAAACTTCTGGTTAAAAATACCTATTAATCTCTTGGGCATAACCTTAAATAATTAGTATATCATAAGAAAAATAAACTGATGTGGAAGTAAAATTTAGGGCAGAGGTTTCTTTTGTACTGCAACTGCCTTTGTAGAAAAAGTCAAAGAGGAATAATGAGAATAAAATACTGAATGAAAAGTAGCCTAGAACTATTCCCACATCCCCCTGCGCTCTAGCACTGCTCTGGCGCGTCGATTCGGAGGACTCTGACCTTGGACTTGTAGTGATACTCTTTCAGGTACAGCTTCATGGGGGAAGGGATGGGAAGGGCGTCGATGCCGTCGTAGGTCGTACAGTTGCAGATGACTGTCCTGCAGATGTGCTGCAGGGAGAAGGGGAAAGTCCGAATGAGGGGCGTGGACAGGAGGGGCTCAAAGAACATGCAGGCGCTGGGGTCCTTGTAGTGCTCCAGCAGCCCGGTGATGTCGGGAGAGTGGAAGACGCAGGGGTCATGCGCATCGAAGCTGAAGTTGTGGTTCCACTGCTCGATCCTGGCGTGCAGGGAGCGGCTGTAGCGCCGGAAGCTGACGGAGAACAGGTAGTCCTCCTGAGCGGAGTCCCGCAGCAGGAAGGTGCCCTCCGGCTTGCCCTCGAGCAGCGCCTCGGCCGCGTACTTGTCCATCACGCCCCAGTAGCAGGGGTTGTTGTTGATCCGCAGCAGGTCGGGCACCAGGCAGTGCACGTAGTCCACCTGCGTGTGGTACTTGGGCGGCGTCTCCAGCCGCAGCAGCTCCTCGTCCACCTCCCACTTGGGCTTGTTTCTCTTCCGGGAGCTGGTGCAGAGCGTGACCATGTCCTCGTCCGAGTCCATGTCGCTGTCCTCCACGCTGCTGCTGGACGCCAGGTGGGCCGTGGAGCCGGAGGTGGCGCCGGGAGTCGGGGCGCCAGGCTCGGCCTCGGCTCCCCCGGGCGGGAGCTGCACGTTCCTGGGATCGTGCTGGGGGAGGTCTGCGCTGCCCCACCCGTCGGGCTTGGGGCTTAGGGGCGCCGTGTGTTGCTTAATGAAGTGCCACCTGAAGGCCAGGTCTGAGCGCGGCGGGAAAGGGCACTTGTCCAGCATGAGCTCGCTGATGTGGATTTTTCTCCTGGCCGGAAGCCCGGGGGAGTGGCGGCTACTGCAGTTTTTGATTGGGAAACACTGGCCCACGGCGTCCTGCAGCTTCTGCTTCAGGGATCGGCCTAGGAAGCGGTGCCCGCAGGAGTGGTCCAGGTCCAGCTCGAGCGAGGAGCAGCTGTGCTTCCTGTCCTGGCCCCGCAGCGGCCGCTCGCTCTCGGTCTCAGCCCCGGCCCCGGGGCCAGCCCCAGTCTCAGTCTCAGTCTCGGCCCCAGCCCCGGCCCCGTCCGGCGCCTCGGTGTCCGAGCAGCTCTCGCCCTTCCGGGACCACGACAGCTTCTTGCCGCTCCACACGTAGCCGTCCTTCCGGTCCGCGCTTCTGCTCCGGCTGGTTTTGGGCCTCACGTCTACATTTTTATTACTGTTTTCACTATTTTCTGCCATTTTAACAAGTCGTCCACAGATTCCAGCAGTGTTATAAATACTGCTTTTTCAGTTTTTCTGACAGGAAGCTTCTTCTGGGCACTTTCAGGACGTATCTAAGGAGGGGGAGAAAAATCATTAGCCATGTGGTCCACTTTCCATGGTTTACAATATTAAGCCCAATTAGTCACGAGAGGAAAAAACAAAATCACTACACGGAAAGGACTGAGAATATGAATCAGAAAAGGCCACACTTCTTTGCTTGGCCGTCATTCATACTCAAACATGGATCATTTCTAGTCTTGAAGTATATTTTACAACCACCTCTACTCACCTATTTTTAAAATTTCACAACAGATCAGGGAATTGGTTGTGAGTTTCTGATCTGGTTGAGCATTCTCCATTGCTCCTGTGCTTCCTCTGCCTTGCTGCCATCCCTGCTTAAAATGTAGGAGATTCTTGAGATCTGTGCCAGCTGGTGCCCAGCGACTGATCATGCAGTGTTGCTTCTCATGCATGCTAACACCTGATAGCCTGACTGGGTACAGTCCGTGTCACAGAGCTGTACTAGAACTACACATTCCTATCTGGGAACTAACTGTGCCGTGTTGCCTTTCTTGGTTCTAAGAAAGTGCCCGGTCCTAGGCATTCCTTCGGGAGGGGCAGGCCTCGTGCCTGGGCAAAGGTCTTGCCCCATACCGTTTTGATGCTTGGACCCCCTTATTTTGGGTCAAAGAGCATCATCTTGATCAATAGTAGGTTTATGTTTTTATAGCATCTCATGTGGCCACTCTTTTCATGAATGCCTCAGCGAGGCTGAAGACAGACTGTATAACCAGGGGGGCTAGGCAGAGTAGGGTTAGACAAGCTCTTATTAGGAATACAACATCTATGAATGAGGGTTTTGGATCTCCTAAGGGTTGAAAACCATCCTTTAAACAATTTCCCTGGGTCCCAGCCTTTCTAGGTCTGGGCCAGGACACGAGAAATTTTTTTTTTTTTTTTTTTGTCTTCTTGAGACAAGGCCTCACTCTGCAGTTCAGGCTGGCCCTCAGCTCACTTTGTAGCCCAGGGTGACCTCAAACTACCAATGATCCTCCTGCCTCAGCCTCCTCAGTGCTGGGATTACAGGCATGCATCACTATGCCTGGTTTCTGTGTGTATATTTACATGTGTCCTTGCCACCAGTTGGAGGGTGCAGGTTATCGTGATAAAACTCTGCCTTCTGTGCTGAGGTTCCTTTTGGCAGAGACCTGGCCTCAATATCAGAATTAGGATTAGCCCTGTATCTGGGGATTGTCAGTACTGCCAGTGAGGAAACCACCAGCTTTCTCTCGGACCTGAGCCGATGCTGTCCCGGCAACAAATGGAAAACGAGGTATCCGACCTCCTCCTGGCAAATCTGGGCCCTTCTTCCTGGACGCCTTGAACTGGGACAGTGTCCAACAGAGTAGTGACGAGCTGCTGAATTTCCTCCATGCCGTCCCGAGACCTCCGGCCAGCAGCAAATGACCTACATACAGGGACAGGAGCCAGCTATGCTGGTCCACCAGAAAGGTTCTCAGATCAGTAGCCAGTGCCATGCCAAAATGATCAGGGAATTTCTGAACCCCTGGGGCAGCCTGGCCCAAGGCAGCCAGCCTTTGTCATCATTTCCTGGACTTTTCCACTGGAAGGCAAAGATTGGCTGGCTTTGTCAGGCCAGGCAGAGGTAGAAAAAGGCACCTTTGACGTGAGACATGTAAAGAAGGCAGCTGCAGCAGGGATGAGACCCAAGAGAGTGCAGGGATTTGAGACCACTGGGTACAGGGTGATGGAGGCCTGGTTTACTGCCCTAGGATCCTGAACCTGCCAATGGTCATCTGTGCCCAGCTTCTGAACTGGCAGGAGAGGTGTGTTCCAAGGTAACTGGCAAGCTCAGAGGATCTCATAGTTTGGGAGCCTCTCCAGGTGTTTCTGGATCCCAATCTGTGCCTTCTGAGGGACGAAAGATTGCTTTTGCCAGACTGGCTCTGTCTGGTATGTTTCAGGCCAATCTGGGTGGATTATCTTTAGCCCATATGCCAAGTGAGTTGACAGTTATTTGGGCCTGTTGCTTTTCTATCAGATCTGGCCCCATTAAAGCCACGGACAGTTGCAGAGGTATAGGAATTATTAGATGACTTTGTGGCTGTCTAAAACACACCTTCGGGGCAGCAGGGTAAGACGTCATCATGTTCAATTACCCTCGGCTCCATGACAGTGATTGTTCTCTGTGAGAGGGGGCTCAAGGGTTGGGCCATCACAGAACGCCCCACCCCATGTCTACCATGAAGGTCCCCTCCCCAACATTCACTCGGACCTTGGGGCCCCAACAAATTAGAACTGGTCTGCCCTAGTCTTCCTCATAGTCTTCTACGGTGGCATACAAATCATCTTTGGGGGCCCCAAGAGGCTGTGATGCTGGTTGGTGGGGTTAGCTTATCCGCCCTGGACCACATGGCCTCTTCTCTCTTGCTTGGAATTACTGGGCCAGAGAGGGTATTCATTCCTCCTGTGGCCCTTCTAGCCACAGTATGCATACTATCCTGTCCTATCTTTGGTCCTAGGCGAGAAGATCCATCCTGCGGTACCCCATTTTGGCCCTGTCCCTGTGGGACACCTTTCCTAGAGTGTCTGACTGCTCCACCATGGTGGCAGCCAACAAGCCTGGCCTTTTCTGCAACTCTGGCTTCTTCCTCCTGTGACACCTGGTCGCGGTTGCAAACACCTTGGCTGCTACCAGAAACAGTTAAACTACCTGGAAGTAAATGCCTCGCGATTGGCGCAACTGAGGACTGAAGCATTTCTCAGCTCACCTAAGGTTTTCAGCTCAATTTAAGGTTAAATCCGGGGGCAGCAGCATTTTGATGAATATAAAAGTAATTCACACTCATTGTGATAAAGGTCAGACCAGCCATAAAGTTATGAAGAATAAAAACTCACCATGACCCCATCAAATGGCCACTGTAACATTTTCACTATCTTTATGCAGGTACCTGGCAAGGATGTGGCTTCACAGCACAGCAAAGGGAAGGATTAGAACCGTGATTTTGGGTCTTGCTTCTGCTCTGTGACAGGCATGTGACCTGGCTTGTTCAGTTCTGTTCCCTGCACATGGAGGTGCTGATGCCATCCATCTCATGGGCTGGGGATTGCATGAGGGTGAGTCTATAAAGTACTCAACCCCTACATGTGTTCAGTACTCAGTAAATGCCAACATGTACTTTCATGTATTTAAAAATAAAGATCAGATATGCTGTTTGGTTAAAGCACCCAGGCGAGTTTTGCAGAGAGCTAGCTTACAATGAAATCAGACTACTTGTCTCTAGCCTGACGCTAACTACAGAGCAGAGACTTTTATGAGTGAATAAAATTTGGAGGAACACAGCCAGTGTTTTCAAGTGAAAAATGATCAATATGCTAGATAGAGCTGGAATCAATAGAGCACGGGGCAATGTGTCATTTTCCTCCTGAGAACCAATCTCTAGCCTTCCTCAGTACAAGCTGACTTTGGCTCAGTTTGCCACCTTGGAAGTAACAGATTCAATCAATTATCCATGGATTTTAGATTAACTGTTCTTAGTATGCTGATGCTGCAGATGTCCATAAAACAGTGAAAAGTATCAATGTCCTACTTAAGTTTTCCATGCACTTACACCTTTTTCATACATTTTAGAATTAATGCACTGAAAATCTTCTGGCTGGTTGTTGTTCCTCAGAATTATAGCCTTTTATAAGCTTTTTAAAGCTACATATATATATATTTGTTTTGCTAGAAATCTATGAGTTCATGACCAAGAAATCCTACCTTCAGCCACATGTAGTGGCAAATGCCTATAATCCCAGGTACTTGGGAAGCTGACGCAAGATGATGGCAACTTGGAGGCCAGCCTGGACAACTTAGTGAGACTGTCTCAAAATGAAATAAAAAAGGGCTGGAGATGTAGCTTAGCAGTAGAGTGCTTGCCTAATAGGCACAAGGCCTTGGGTTCCAGCCACAGCTGCCACATCAGTATATGTTCCAGTTGTTAGTACTCAAAGTAGGAAGAAAATGTTACTTCTATTTAGATTGTCTAAAAAGTAGAAAAAAGCTGGGCATGGTGGTGCACACCTGCAATCGTAGCACTCAGAAGGCTGAGGCAGGAGGATCACCATGAGTTCAAGGACATCCTGGGCTACCCAGTAAGTCAAAGGCCAGCCTGAACTGCATAGTGAGACCCTGTCTCAAAACCACCCCCCGCCCCCCAAAAAGAAAAAGAAAAATTAGGATTACATTGAATACATGGTTGATAAGGTTACTGTCACTGACTGTCAGACTGCCACTTGTTGGATGGTACGCTGTTTCCAAGGGAACAGTAGCAGTCCCTGAAATCTGATAAGGTACCGTATGCCCTCTCCATTTCTTTCTTTATTTTTGTGGTACTGGGGATTGAACCCAGGGTGCTCTATTGCTGGACTACATCCATAGCCATTTTTACTTTTTATTTTGGGGTAGGGACTCACTAAGCTGCCCAGGCTGGCCTTCAACTTGCTGCCTCTCCTCCTCAGCCTGCAGAGGAGCTGGGATAGAAGTGTGTGTTGCTGTGCTTGGCTAGGTTAATTTTTTTTTTTTTTTTTTTGGTTTTTGGAGACAGGGTCTCTCTATGCAGCTCAGGCTGGCCTTGAACTCACTATAACACAGGTTGGCCTCCAACTTGTGGCAATCCAAGAGAACCTCTGTAATATGCTGCAAGGAGACATAACCATGGAAATTTTATTACATGAGGCTTGCTAGTTATCCCAAAGTACTTAAGCAAGTTGTTTAACTTTTATGTATTTTTCTCTCACAAAATGACAAGTGTTCCAAATTTAATGACCTTCATTGAGATAACAAGTGACTCTCAGAGGCTATGGAGCAGGGTTGTTTTTGGGTACCGGGAATCTAACTCAGGACCTTGCGCTTGCCAGGCAGGCGCTTGTGCCACTGAGCTATATCCCCAGCCCAGGTTTTTGTTTGTTTTTTTTTTTGGAGACAGGGGCTATGTATGCCTGGCAGCCTCGATGTCTTATGACCTCAATCTCGCAGTGATTCGCCTGAGCAAATATAGTCTTAAAA